ACCCTTCACCACTTCGAGGTACGCTTCCATTCTTGAATCTTTGGCTTCATAGTCTCCATTAAATTAGTTAACTACTAATTGCGAATCGCAATAAGCCAATATTTCTTTAGCTCCAACTCCTTGTGCTAATCGAAGTCCGGCAATCAGGGCTTCGTATTCTGCCTCGTTGTTGGAGGCATTGAATAACAACCGGAATGATTGTTCTAGAATTTCTGATGTTGGAGATTCCAACTTGATTCCCACTCCGGATCCTTGCTTTGTTGAAGACCCGTCTACATGTAATTTCCAAGTTTGGTTCTCCGGCTGCTCTATCGTTCCAGGTATTGGCAACTCGGTTAAGAAATCTGCTAAAACCTGAGCTTTCATACTGATCCGGCTTTTGAATTCTATATCGTACTCGCTTAACTCCACCGCCCATTTCGCCAAACGTCCGGACTGACTTGGACTATGAAGTATTAGTCGGAGTGGTTGGTTGGTTAATACTTCAACCGGATGGGATTGAAAATATGGGCGCAGCTTTCGGGCCGAAGTCACCACCGCGAGTGCGAGTTTTTCCATCATTGTGTATCTGGTTTCTGGATCCGTCATTGACTTGCTTACGTAGTAAATTGGTTTCTGCTCCCCACGGTCTTTCCGAACCAAGACTCCACTAACCGCGTGGTTTGAAACCGATACGTACAAATAAAGTTTTTCATCCACTTCCGGTTTGGACAGTATAGGCGGAGTGGTTAAGTATGCCTTAAGCTGCCCAAAAGCTTCTTCACACTTCTCATCCCAAAGGAATCCTTTGTTCCCTTTTAGAATTTGGTAGAAAGGTAACGACTTATCTGTTGATCTCGAGATAAAACGATTCAAAGCCGCAATCCGCCCAGTCAACCGTTGTACTTCTTTGAAGTTTCTTGGAGATAGCATGTTTAGAAAGGCGTTAATTTGATTTGGATTGGCTTCAATCCCTCTTTCTGTCACGATATAGCCAAGAAATTCTCCGGATGGGACTTCAAATGTGCACTTCGCCGGGTTCAGCTTCATTTGATATTTATTGAGAATATCAAAACATTCCTCTAAATGCTTAACGTGATCCTCTTTCTTTAATGATTTAACTAGCATATCATCTATGTAGACTTCCATTGTTTTCCCGAGATGATTATGGAACATTTTGTTAACCAACCGTTGATAAGTTGCTCCTGCATTTTTCAAACCAAAAGGCATTACCTTGTAACAATAGATACCTCTATCAGTAATAAATGACGTTTTTTCTTGGTCTTTGGGGTTCATCATTATTTGATTATAACCCGAGAAGGCATCCATGAATGTTAACAGCTCGTTCCCAGCGGTGGACTCTACAAGTCGATCTATATGTGGGAGTGGGAAACTATCTTTGGGGCATGCTTTATTGAGGTCTGTAAAATCGATGCAAACCCTATCCTTCCCATTCTTTTTCTTGACAACGACAGTGTTTGCTACCCATTCCGGATATTGCACTTCTCTTATGGACCCTATCTTCAAAAGTTTATCCACTTCGTCATTTACTATTTTTGCTCGCTCCACTCCAAGCTTTCTGCTTTTTTGTTTCACCGGTTTGAAGCTTGGATCCACGTTTAGTTCATGACAAATTATACTCGGATTTATGCCAGGCATGTCCGCTGCTGACCATGCAAATGATGTTTTGTTTTTCCTTAAGAGTTCGATCAAAGCTTCTTTTATTTGGCCAGTCAAAGTTGCCCCAATTCGAATTTTCCGGTCCGGCTTGTCTTCTTCCAACACCACTTCGATTACTACATCATCTTTCTTCTGCCCGCTAGGAAATTTTGTTCTTAGTCCCTCTTTTGCGGGCTTCGTTAATTGCTATTGAATCTTCATACGGTGGCTAGCTAGATAACACGTCCGTGAAGCTTCTTGATCTCCCCGAATTGTTTCCACTCCTCTTGACGTTGGAAATTTGATACATTGATGATATGTAGAGGGGACTGCTTTCATTTGATAAATCCAGGTAGTACCGAGGATGATGTTGTAAGCTGCGGGCTTATCGAAGACAACGAAGTCCACGATCTTTGATACTTTTTTGGCAAGGACCGGTAGCTTGATTGTCCCGAGAGACATGGCTGATTCACTTGTGAATGCAACTAATGGAGACGGAGGCCCCACTATATCCGCCCGACTAATTCCCATTCTTTCTAAAGTACTTAAAAAGATCAAATCGACCGAACTGCCTGTATCTATAAGGATCCTTGATACTTCGAAATTGGCAACGTCAAGGGTAATGACTAGAGCATCATCATGAGGTCTTTTGAGGTACCGCGTTTCTTCTTCATTAAATGATATTGATGCACCTTGAAAATCGACTTCTTCGCTTAAGCTTGCTTTGAGTAGGATATTTCGTCTATGTTTCTTGATGGAACTTATCGAATCTCCGCAAAATCTGGAACCTCCTAGAATAACATTGATCTTACCCTTAGAATTCCTTGGTTCTTCCTCGTTGGTTAACCTTGGTCTTTTAGAATTTTGATCTTTGGAACTTTCCTTTGCTTCGTGGTATTCCTTCACAAAATCTTTTATATCGAATTTGGAAAGATCTCCACTAGCCCAAAGCTCTGCGAGGTGCCTTTTAAGAACGCTGCAATCCTTGGTTAAATGTCCGGTTACTTTATGAATGTCGCAATATAGACTTTCATCACGGACCCAAGTGTTTGATCTTCCTTTCCCTTGGAATTGCTTTCCGACGGTACTGTTGAAGGGTTGCGACCCAAATTTCCTTGGTCCTTTGCTCTCCCTAGGCTCGAACTTCTTGGTAGGGACGGTGATTGCCGGCTTTTCTTGCTTATTTCTTTTGGCAAAACTTTCTTTTTCGTCCTCTACCTCCATCCAGTTGTTCGCGCGGAAGAGTGCATCCTGAATTGTGTCTAGTTTATGAAGTATTAAGTCTTCTTTAAACCTTGAATGATGTCGCAATCCTTTTCGTAGGGCAGATAAAGCTGATTGCTGCGAGATTCTTGGGAGCTTTGATAGCACTCCTTTGAACTTGGTGATGAAAACTCGAAGTGACTCACTTGACCCTTGCGATAAGTTCCAAAGATCGGCATCCGAAACGCTTTTATCCATAAGGATGAAATATTGCTTTAAGAATACGGCTGATAGTTCGTCGAAATTGCTGATCGAACCCGGCTCTAATTGGGTGAACCACATTAGAGCTTGGCCACATAGATTCTCCGAAAAAAGCTTGCAGTAACCTGCGTCCTCATCAGCTTCATCCAATTCGACTCTTCCAGCAGCGATCAGAAAAGCTGCGAGATAGCTTTTTGGATCCTCCAATCCGCTGTAAGGGTCCAACTTGAGTTTCCGGGAATCCTTGATCCTCAAACTTGCAATTCGCGAGATGAAAGGTGTTCGCCTAGCTTCTTCAATGACTCGATTGATGTCTGGCTCCGAGCTTGTAGCTTGATGAAATTTTGATTTCATTTCTTTTAATTCCTGGCTAACCTTCCTCATGGTCTCGAACTGGTCGAGGTTCTCCTGCTCGTACTGAGCTGCGAGTTGTTCTTCATCTCCGAGCTGTGCCTCTTCTTCCAACGTCTGCGCTACATTATTAGTAGCACCGGGAGTTGTTTGTCCGCTGGTTTTATTTCGCGCAGCGGAGCTTGGCGAGTTGAATATCCCTCTTCGGATTCCCACAAGGTTTCCTGCACTTAAAGAGCGAACACGAGTTTGTATAGTATTGACGTTTTGACTAAGAGATACATGGGATGTTTGCAACGTATCGACGGCCTTTTCCACATCCGAGAACTTTTGTGATATGTCCGACATGGTTTGCTGCATAGCTTTGAGGGTTTCGGCCAATGATGTCTCAACGGCGTCTCCTCCGGACATTGTTGCTTATCTCGGAAGTGTGATAAAGAAAAAATCTGACCACTCAAGAACCTTCTATACCCACAGGCGGCGCCAAAATGTGGAGGTCGGATTCACACACTCAAGTATTTTATTAAGTAGGAAAGATTATTCTTGAGGGACAAAAATGAATATGTAAAAACTTATAAATTGCTACGAAAATTGCTATAGTATTTCTTTCTTGAGAGGAAGATCCTCTTTACATGGCGATTGGCCTTTATATTTATACATAGAGAATCGACATTAAAATGAATAATTAAGTACAATTATTCCCTCTTAAATGTGTCCGTTTTGATTCTTTTACTTTAATGCTCAATGTTTGAATTTGAGTTGACTTTGATCTTCATGGGCCTCGCCTTTTGGCCCAAGTGTCCTTGAACCGTCTTACCCGTGTCTTCTACACCGAACTCATGTCGAAGAGCAGTCACTTCGGACTCTCGAAGTGGTGATAACCACTTCGACCGTTCCTTCGGCTCACGGGTCTAATGGGCTTTATCCTTTATGGGCCATTATCTTGACTACGTGGAAATCTTTGGTTGGTCTCGGACTTCTGGTGCGGGATCCGACACCAACAATAGATAGATCGGGAAGTGCCTTAACTACGAAATTCCAAAGAAAAGAAAAAGAAAAAATAGGGAAAAGACAAAAATATAACCGTTGGTGATTAGTTGGATGACAGGCTGACATAGAAGCCAACAAATCTCACTCTCACATGGTCCAAGGCTTCTTTGTCCCACCATTTTGTATTCTCAATCTCCTTTACTTTATTTATTCATTACACCAAAGCTCCAATACAACATGACATTTGTTTTATCTTCATGATATATTTATCTTAACTAATGCTACATTACATATTTAGATATTATTCTATTTCATTCATTGGTTATTATTTTGTACAACTAGTATTGACAACTATTTTTGAGAATGTATGATTGTATTTCACAAAATTGAGAGTATTACAAATACATGAGTTGAGTTACATTTCTAACAACCTGGATATTGTGGTACGGTATGACTGGCTTTTTAGGTTTTGTTGGTCTCCATTTGATTATAAAACAAAATGTATTTATTACCTATATTCCAAAAGTACCCTTCTCTTGTTATAAAGCAACACAAAAGAGCAAGAAAATCTCCATAACAAGAGAGAGAAACCAATCTTTTCAGTGAGTGAGCTAAGATAAGAAAAATGTCAAAAGAAGTGAGTGAAGAAGGAAGACATGGCAAAGACTACGTTGATCCACCTCCAGCTCCACTCCTAGACATGGCTGAGATTAAGCTCTGGTCTTTCTACAGAGCTATCATCGCAGAGTTCATCGCCACTCTCCTCTTCCTCTACGTGACCGTAGCTACAGTCATTGGCCACAAGAACCAAAACGGTCCTTGTGACGGTGTTGGTTTACTCGGCATTGCATGGGCCTTTGGTGGCATGATCTTTGTCCTCGTTTATTGCACCGCCGGTATCTCCGGTAAATATTTCCACAAAACCACAAAAACTTCCCTAAACCTAACTATTCAAGATCTTAAAAGATGAAGTTGTTAGCACTGATACACTTCTAATACAATGATACAATTTATTTTTTGGTTAAAAACAGTGTTAAATTTCTTTACCAAGGTGGTAGAATATTTCAAGAAAACTTGCCCTAAAATTACTAAATCCTTAATCTTCAAGATACTAAAATATGTTGGTTTTATGCAGGAGGTCATATTAATCCAGCAGTGACATTTGGTCTGTTCTTGGCTCGTAAAGTGTCGCTCCCTAGAGCAGTTGCTTACATGGTGGCTCAGTGTCTTGGAGCCATTTGTGGAGTTGGACTCGTTAAAGCCTTTATGATGACTCCATACAAACGTCTAGGTGGTGGAGCTAACACCGTAGCTGATGATTATAGCACCGGAACTGCTCTTGGTGCTGAGATTATTGGCACATTTGTCTTGGTCTACACTGTCTTCTCTGCCACTGACCCCAAAAGAAGCGCGCGTGACTCTCACGTCCCGGTTAGTAGAACATTTTTGTCTAATTTATTCTAAAGTTGAATTCTTTCGAATGTTATCTCATGGTTTCATAATGGGTTTATGTAATTTCTAACAAAGTAGAATTCTTTTTATTCTTTTTCATATGTTTCATAATGGGTTTGTATAAAAGTTTAAATCTTTGAACAATTTTTTGGTATTCAAATGGTTTTGTGTAATTTCGAATAAAGTTGAATTCTTTTGACTACTTTTTGTAGGTTTCAAAATGGGTTTATGTAATTTTTAAAAGAGTTTTCTGCATGAGTTTCTACAATATTTAATTCTTTGGAGTATTTTTCATATGTTTTCACATGGGTTTGTGTAATTTCTATAAAAGTTACATCTTTTGAATGTCTTAATGTTTATAGGTTTTGGCTCCGTTACCTATTGGGTTTGCTGTGTTTATGGTGCATTTGGCTACTATCCCCATCACTGGAACTGGAATTAATCCAGCTAGAAGCTTTGGTGCTGCTGTTATCTACAACAATGAGAAAGCTTGGGACGACCATGTAAGTATAATAATCTCTCATAACAATCAATTTTATTAGTTTTTTTTTTTTGTTCAATAATTATTAATTAAGTTTTGGGTTAATGGATTTGAAATAGTGGATCTTTTGGGTTGGACCGTTCTTGGGAGCATTGGCAGCAGCAGCATACCATCAATACATCTTGAGAGCTGCAGCAATCAAAGCCTTGGCTTCATTCCGCAGCAACCCAACCAATTGATGATGCATGAGCTTATTAACAATTTGAGCTCTGTTTTGTGTGCTTAGTGAGAGATATTTGTGTGTTTTAATTTGGTGTTATCGGATTTATTCATTTTCAATAGTTTAGTTTGGTTTAATTCATCTTTGTACCGTTGCTTTCTTTCATGTAGGACATCTTTTTTTTTTGTCATCCGAAATTAATTAAAATTCAAAAGAATCATTCCTGAGGAATGTTGTTTACATATGTGATATGTTGCGGTTCTGTACGAACTTTTCGTGCCAGATTATCCGCTTTTACATTAGCGCTACAAGAAATTAAAGATAAAGAAAAGGAAGAGAATTCTTCCTTGTCACTCTGAAATTCCTCCAAATACACTGAAAACGCCGGCCATTCGGTTGGAGAAGACACCATCTTCACCAGGTCAAAACAGTCTGTAAAGAACGCTACCTCTTGATTATCTGCACCAATCATACACTTCATCGCCCAGAGAAGGGCCTCGGCTTCTGTATGTAGGGGAGATAGACTTCTACGGAGGTTGGCAGCTCACATGGTTGGCGGTTCTCCACTTGATGATGTACAGAACCATCCTGTACCGGAGAACTTATCACTTCCTTTCCATGATCCATCCAGAAAACAACGGTACCCCGAATAAGTCGAATCAAGTGAAGCATCCCTCACTCGAGATCGAGTTACCAAATCCACAGAACCCTGATTTTCGTTAATAAGCTCGATTTGAGCTGCATGCCACAATTGTGCCTCTTTTTCCGCTAACCGTAATACCTCTAGTGGATCATTGTCTATATTTTCAAATATTTTTTCATTCCTTGCTTTCCAAATATACCAAATAATCCATGGAAAAACTGAGCAATCAAATTCTGAAGGTATTCTCCAAAATAAATGATCCAAGTTCGCAAAAATAGATTGTGTGGGAAAAAACCTCATACCCGTGGGAATCTGTGAAAGCGCCCAAATCTGTCGTGCCGAGTGGCACTGGAAGAGTGTGTGATTAATCGTTTCCTCTAGTGCACCACATCTGGCACAACCTGTATCACAGTCAATTCCTCGTTTCCGCAAATTTTCCGTAACCGGTATACAACCCGTTAAAATTTGCCACAAAAAATGGCGTATCTTAGGTGGACACTGCACTTGCCAAGTATGTGCTTTTAGCGGTTTGATGTCTGCTCCTATAGGACATCTTATGATTTACTTTTATATTACAGTCCGAATTAAAACATTTGTTAAAACTTTATATGAACCCACATGCATGTTCTTTAAAAACATTCCTTGGTGTTTTTGTCTTATGGTACTTGATTCTTCTTATCCGGTGGTCGGATCATAAACTACTCACAGATTGACACATGTTCCTTAGTTAGAAGTAATAATAGACTAATAGCTTAAGCCTTGGGGCATGGAATAAGGATGGAGTTTAGCAATAAACATTGTCACGTCTCGTCTTTTTAGAATTGTAGAGACAGAGAAGTGTGTGGTCCTTTTGATAAAGAGGTCAAAAATTTCGAAAAGGGCTCGAAAGCAGACGGACATGGAGGAGAAAAAGATAAAGGACCACCACACTAAATGGTCCCACGCTTCCATTTTTCACACCCTTCACAATGTAACCGTTAGTATATGCTTGGTTTGATTTGGCTTGGTTTTGTTTGGTTTGGTTAAGATAGACCAGTTTCACATTTGTCTAGCTAGAGAATTTACTGGTACAGAAATTTGTTTGGACTTAAGGTGGCTAAAGAAAAGTTCATTCTACAACTTAGTTCTCTCAAGGATAAATTTAAGGACAATTAAGCAGACAACAGCATATAAGTTTACTTTCCGAACCAGAAATCCATTCTCTTGTTTCCAACATGTGAGCTCAAGTAGTTTAGTCGGGTAATGCAGTTCCTCGTTCCAAGTTGTTTTTGATCTCCAGCGTGTATTTCCCAAATGCACGCTCGATTTTCTTGTTGAAATGCTCGTTTCTGTCGTTGATGGAATCAATATCCTTCTCTTCCCTGAACTTTCTCCTCCTGCTAAACTCTTGTCGCTTTTGCTCTCTGTCTAAGAGCTCTTTTGCCATCTTATCTATCTTATCTTGCGAAGTTTTTGGAGCCTGCAAAAGTTTAACAAAGGATTGAGCTTTTCTATGACTCTTTACTTAGATTTGAGTCTCCAATTGACCAAAACGGTAAATCACAAACCTTCCCATATTGCAAGCTTGAGGCCTCACGGTAAAACTCTGGATCAGCTGCTCTCATTCTGTTATACTCCTCTAGATCAACCTGAATGTTCTTTGTCCGTTTCTTATATGCGTTGTATAATGTCTTCTGGTTAAAGACTGAAGACAAAGACAACATTTCACAACATTAGCCTCCCAATAATTGAGTTATCATCGACGTGAAACATAACAAATGATAAGAGAGCAGAGTAACAATTCAGTAAGAATTCCACGTACCATCCCAACCAGCAGGCGTAGGTTCCTTTTCCCATTTTTTGTATTTTGTTTCTGCTGTTTCTTGAGTATCGAGCATATAAGCCTTTGTCATATCTAAACCATTAGCATCGAGAAGTTTCCCAATCTTTTTCTTCCTCCCCTCCAACCATTTCTGTTTTGAGATTCCTTTTGTCTCTGTTGGTGCTTCCATTTTCTTCTTTTCACTCCCGACATCCGTCTGATTGGATTTTCTTGCTTCATTCTGAAAAGAAAGCGTTATGGAAGAATTACTAATGATATAAACCGATCTTTGGATTTTTTAAAGAATTACTAATGACTGTACAAAAAGACTTACCATCTTAAGTCTCAACTCAAACAACTTCTTCTGCCTCCCTGTAAGTTGAGTCACGTCTACTTGAGGTTCTTGGTTATCCTCTTCCTCCTCTTCTTCTTCTGAACTATCTTCCTCTATTCGTTTATCATCGAGTGGCTCCCTCGTCTGCTCGTGAACTTTAGCATTAGGATAACCACGCCCATCACCAGTAGCTAATCCTTTTGGCACATGAAAAAGAGAAACAAGTCTCAGAATAGCAATTCACACTCGCTTCTTATCAAAACTACATGAATTTTTCATCTGACAGGACAGCACAATGACAAGTAACATGTCTCCATCCATGTCTACACAGAGTGGGTGCATCACAAAATTGAAACTAAGTCTCAATGTGGCATCACCAGGAGCTTTATGTAAAAATTTCCACACAACTCTAACAATAAACCTCAAAAAAGCTACTGGTACGCTTACGCATCAAAATCATAAACTATAATCACGAGAAACAAATCCATACAGATGATACATACACCACGAACAGCTAAGCTACGGAATCGAAAAAGAACACAAACCAGTATTCTGCATCTCTAATCTGGCCTTTGCAGCAATTTTCATCAAGCAATAACTACTCCTTCACTAATTTTTAAATAGTGAGTGTATCACAGAATCGAAACTCAGTAACATTGTAGCATCACTAGAAACTTAATGTGCAAATTCACAAACAGCTCTCTAAGCGAACAACCTAAAAAGTAGCAAATAATCATTAAAACTCAATCAGCTACTACTACACATCAAAATTATAGACCATGCGAAACAACATAGACGATAGAAACATCAATTGCAGGTAGCGACAGAATAGAAAAAGAACACAAACCAGAATTCTGCTTCTCGAATCTGGCCTTTGCTTCAGCGATTTTCTTAAAGCAATACTCAACACACTCGTGATAAGGATTTGAAGCGTTGATACAGTCCGGATGCACTCTTCTCTCAGTAACCATACTTCCAAGCGATACGATAACTGCAAAATAAACCAACAGAAACACAAATAAAGTTATCCAATACAGCACTGAAGAATAATAACAAAAGACGCATAAGTTGATATTACATCCCAAAACTATAATAACAATAAAATCAAACATTAAGATGATGAAAATAAAAATCTTAACTGGGTTCAATGATAAACACCTAATTCGATGCAAATTTGAAGCTAAACTATATAACACAGCCACCTTATGACAACAAAATTCACACTATAAGTTGATGCAAACAAGAACTTAACTGGATTCAACGAAAATTTCCTAATTTGATGCAAATTCACTTCAACATTAAAGCTAATCTGTTCAAACCCTAAACCAGGAGGGGGAAATTGTAAGAATCATAACCTAATCGATGAAACAATTAAAACCCTAGAATACAGAGAAGAAAAAAACACTGTGACTGAAATCGAATCAAGAAACCAACCTGTGGAGAAACAATTCGGAGGAATCTGCAAGTATGAGAAGAACACCAGATATTTCGCGGACGATAATTTTTTTTTTTTCTCCACTGAGGAGAAAAAAATATTGGAAAATAAAAATAATTATAAGACTGATAATTTGGTGGGCTATAGATGGGCCTCTTAACTTTGAATTGGGCCAACAAAAATTTTAAGGAAGTATGACATTAATGCTAGCAAAAGTAAAACAATCTGATAATTAGTCTTTGAAAAAAAAAAATATTAAATAGTTAATATTAATTTTATTTATAAATTTCTTTACATAAGAAAATATAAATATTTATTTCAAAGTATATTTCGTTCGTGCTGGATAATTTTAAAATGCATTTTTAGTTATACTATTATTAATAACAGGAAGAATTTTTTTTAATAAATTTCATGTTCGCATAAGTAAAAAAATTATAGTATTGGTATCTCTATATGGAATTTAAAAAAAATAGTCTTAATATGCTCAAATATGTTTTTCTAGGGTGCTAGAAAAAAAACTAACATTTTTGTATTTTTTATGATTATATCCTTCTAAATCCATATAACGGCATTCTCACTCCTACAATTTTTAAAAAACTAGCTAGCACACTTATCTTTTCCAATCATTTTTTTCAAATGTTAGTGTAATATTTGTCTATATATATACACGAAAATGTTTATAGAAACAGTAACTATATTCACGTGGTAAATTCGAAAATGTTTATAACAAATATAAATATTAGATAGTTGACAAAAAAATAAATTTATTAGATAGAAAATATAATTAAATTCGAAATATATAAACTAAATTCAGGTAAAAAGCGTAGATAAAATCCTCGTACAATAACAAAGTGAAAGACATTATTATTTGAATACAATTTAACAAAAAATACAAAAGAAAAGTGAAAGACATTAAAAATAGAATGGGTTCGATCGCGATTACATTTAATTAGGACCATTGCCAAATGACCCACCACCACATTATCATTCTTTCCTAATGCTGTATTCGTGAAGAGCTCCTCGATCTATGCAATCTGTCGTTTCCTTACCCAACACAAGCTTTCCGATGTTCCTCACAATTTTGGATAGATCAAAGCAGATGAAGAACCAACTCCAACAATCTATAGGTTTCTTCTTTCCTTCAATATAGCTCACTATATGATCATTGTTGTTGTCTTCAGAGTCGTGGAGTTCAATAATTCTATCTCTTGGCAAACCAAATTTCCGGGGATCTTTTAGTAAATAACCAATCATTTTTTTCTGTTTCCTTTTACGTAAGCTAGTTTTAAAAATTTTGGCATGTGACTTGAGCCCCCTAGAGACGGTCTTGCTGCTTCTCTCCGGTTCATTCGTCAAGATTCGTACACCACATTCAAGAATCTTGAAGTTATCAAATGGATTCGAGTCGTCGATGCAGAATTCAAACAATGCCTCGCTGCTGCTAACTTCAGACACGCTGCCATGAAATATACACAGATGTTCGGTTCGAATTCTGGTAGATTCACTTGGGTGTTCTACGCAAATAACTTTATTGTAACTGCCTACGATACACCGTATATCAGTGTGTTCACTTGGATGATGTTGCTGGTTAGGTGAAATCACGACGCAAGCCTTAAACTTGAAGGATACAGAAGAAGAAAGACGAATGGTCAAGGAATTACCTGTAGTTCTATGATTGAACTCATTAGGCATTACTCTTCCCGGTAAGCATGAAAACCCGTCAAGAAATTGAGTCGCGCATCGTTGGATGATTAGTCTCCTTGATTCTTCATCAAGTTTGAAGCAGTTGGTGAAATTGAGTCTCGCACTTGGAGTGTTTAAAGGGTAAGTTACTATCTCCAGTGATTCACAATCTAAAGCCACTAAGAGTCCGAGCGACATAGGGAGCTCTGGCAATGATGTGAGTTTTCTGCAGCCGGCTACATCAAGAGATTTTAGCCCATGAAAACCTTTGATGCAATCTGGAATCGTCTCAATATCAGTATAGCTTAGAGTTAGCAGCTCTACCCTCTCAGGGAAATGTGTTAAGCTCTT